ATATATATATATATATATATATATATATATATATATATACATATATATATATATATATGTATATATATATATATATATATATATATATATATATATATATATATATATATATATATGTATGTATATATATATAAATATATGTATATATATATATATATATATAAATATCATTATGAATATAATTATTATTATCTTTATCATTATTGTTATCATTATTGTTATCATCATTATTATTGTTATTATTGTTATCATTATTATCATCATTATCATTTTCATTATCATCATCATTATCTATTTTGCTTTACAAGTGATATGGAATTTTCTATAAACTTCTGTGAATATTAGAAGTAGAAAGTAGAAAAAAATAATAGTTATTTTAGTAATATTAATAATAATGATGATATTGATAGTGTTAGCTGTAACCGCAGCTGGAGTGATAATAGTAGTAGTAGTAATAGTAGTGGGAGTAGTAAAAGTAGTAGTAGTAGTAGTAGTCATCTTAGTAGTAGTAGTAGTAGTCATCTTAGTAGTAGTAGTAGTAGTCATCTTAGTAGTAGTAGTAATAGTAATAGTCATCTTAGTAGTAGTAGTAGTAGTAGTAGTAGTAGTAATCTTAGTAGTAGTAGTAGTAGTAGTAGTCATCTTAGTAGTAGTAGTAGTAGTAGTAGTCATCTTAGTAGTAGTAGTAGTAGTCATCTTGATAGTAGTAGTAGTAGTCATATTAGTACTAGTAGTAGTAGTAGTAGTCATCTTAGTAGTAGTAGTAGTAGTAGTCTTAGTAGTAGTAGTAGTAGTCATCTTAGTGGTAGTAGTAGTAGTAGTCATCTTAGTAGTAGTAGTAGTCATCTTAGTGGTAGTAGTAGTAATAGTCATCTTAGTAGTAGTAGTAGTTGTCATCTTAGTAGTAGTAGTTGCATAATAATAGTTATGGAGTGGTAATAGTAGTAGTAGTAATAGTAGTAGCAATAATAGGAGTAATAGTAGTAGTAGTAATTTAGTAGACGTTGTAGTATTAGTAACAGGTATGACAATGATACTGATAATAGAAGCGAAGCTAATAATAGTGATAGTAGCAACAATAACAGTAATAAAAATATCAACAACAGCAACAATTGTGGTTATGGTAACAAAGTAACGATGGTAGTAGTAATAATGTCAATAATGGTAATTAATTATTATAACAAAAAACACTATTAATAATCTAGTGACAGTAATGATGATAATAATGACAGTAATGAAGTTAACGCAAAAGGTAATGTGAGGAAAGCATTAGTGATAATAACAGTAACAGTAATATTAGTGCTACTAATAATTCCAATGCTAATGTCAATGTTAATAATAATGATAATAATGATAACAATAATAATTATGATAATAATGATAACAATAATAATTATGATAATAATGATAATCATAATGATAATAACAATAATGATAATAATGTCAATAATAATAATAATAACAGTGATAATAATAATCATCATAAACCAACAACAGTTATAACAATAAGGATGATGATAATGATAGAGAAGGAAAACAAAATATCATAACAATGATATTACTGATTCCTGAAAAAAAACAGAGATAACAGAAATCTTATCAATAATAATGATTATCTTAAAAAAATAATAATGACAACCATAAACCATTCACATTCATCATTGATATAAAGATTATCCATACGGACAGACCACGGCAATAAAAGCTATAATATTCTGACAGTTGTTTAGCTTACAAATTGTCCCATGGGAAAGCTGGCATATGGTTTCACGGTCACATAAGATAGAGGGAAATTCTATAGTTGTTATCTCAATTCAGAAAGAGGATCTTATCATGATGATCATCACTTTTTTCACCTGTCCAAATGATTTTTTTTTAGGTGTACCATGTGTGTTTTTTATCTATCAATATTTGTTATATTATTATTATTATTGTTATCATTACTGTTGGCATTATTGTTATTATCAGTATTATAATTGTTATTATCATTATCATTGTTATCATTATCATTTTCATCGTTATTATTCTTATCTATGCATCTATCTATTTGTTATTCATATTACCATTATTATTAATATTGTTATTATCATCATCATTATTATTATCATTACTATTATCATTATCATTTATTATTACTATCATCTTCATCATCATCATCATTATTATTATTATTCATGAATGCCAAATAGCTTCTTTGGATATAATGCTGCAATGCAATTTTGGCAAGCAGTTCCGTTTTCTCTCATCTTGTCCTCCTCCTCCTCTCTCTCTCTCTCTCTCTCTCTCTCTCTCTCTCTCTCTCTCTCTCTCTCTCTCTCTCTCTCTCTCTCTCTCTCTCTCTCTCTCTCTCTCTCTCTCTCTCTCTCTCATGGATATTGTCGTTTTTTTTCTAAGTCACAGATAATTATCACTTTTTGTCAAACCCATACTTATTAATGGATTTTTTATTCAAATGCAACATGCGTAGCTGTTTTTTATTTGTCTTTTATCCATATGAAAAAGTTCCTTTCGCTATAAAATGTTTTGCATGCGTTGTAAACTAAGATAATCTTATTTGTGCTTTTTTGTGTTTAAATCTTTTTCTCATTAACAATTGATCGGCCTTCTCTACTAGATAAACAGATCTCCAAAACCAAACCAATTTTTAAAACAAATTATGCAAAAGCTCCCCGAATCTCTTAATACCAAACACATTCCGAAATACATAGAACTCAATTAAATCAACAATAACAACTACCAAAATAAAAAACACTCATTCAACCAAAGGAAAGAGATAAACCTAAAAATAAAAATTAAAAAACCACCCAGGCAACTCTACTGATCGAGCACCACCAGGCAGCTTAAGGTGACTCCTAAAAGGCCTCCGTCCGCCCCGCCGACGCCACTCGTATTTCGCCTCATTTCACGCCACTACACGAGTCTCTTCCCTTCCACCATGGCCCCCAAGAAAGCTCTCGTTCTCCTGGCCGAGGGGGCGGAGGAGATGGAAGCTGTCATTGCCATTGATACGCTGAGGAGAGGCGGGGTGAGCACATTCGCGAATTTAATGGGTTTGTTTGTTTTTTTGCGTGTGCTTCTGGGGAATATACTTTCTTGTATTTGGATGATTGTTTGTGGTTAGGTTTGGTTTCTGATGTGTTTTCATGGCGTTTAAGTGATGTTTGCCATTTTTGTGTATATCATAGTGTCTAAAGTTAGACCTGCGCCGGTGTCAGCTGGCCATTTTCCCGGAGGTTCTGGTTATGATTGCGCAGGGTAGAATGCTCGAAGTCGGCTGTCATTGCATTCACGTTATTGGCCCTATTGCCCCCTTGCAGACCTCTCTCTCTCTCTCTCCTCTCTCTCTCTCTCTCCTCTCTCTCTCTCTCCTCTCTCTCTCTCTCTCCTCTCTCTCTCTCTCTCTCTCTCCTCTCTCTCTCTCTCTCTCTCTCTCTCTCCTCTCTCTCTCTCTCTCTCTCTCTCTCTCTCTCCTCTCTCTCTCTCTCTCTCCTCTCTCTCTCTCTCTCTCCTCTCTCTCTCTCTCCTCTCTCTCTCTCTCTCTCTCTCTCTCCTCTCTCTCTCTCTCCTCTCTCTCTCTCTCCTCTCTCTCTCTCTCTCTCTCTCCTCTCTCTCTCTCTCCTCTCTCTCTCTCTCTCTCCTCTCTCTCTCTCTCTCTCTCTCTCTCCTCTCTCTCTCTCTCCTCTCTCTCTCTCTCCTCTCTCTCTCTCTCTCCTCTCTCTCTCTCTCTCTCTCTCTCTCCTCTCTCTCTCTCTCTCTCCTCTCTCTCTCTCTCCTCTCTCTCTCTCTCTCTCCTCTCTCTCTCTCTCTCTCTCTCTCTCTCTCTCTCCTCTCTCTCTCTCTCTCTCTCCTCTCTCTCTCTCTCTCTCCTCTCTCTCTCTCTCCTCTCTCTCTCTCTCCTCTCTCTCTCTCTCTCTCTCCTCTCTCTCTCTCTCTCTCCTCTCTCTCTCTCTCTCTCCTCTCTCTCTCTCTCCTCTCTCTCTCTCTCCTCTCTCTCTCTCTCCTCTCTCTCTCTCTCCTCTCTCTCTCTCTCTCTCCTCTCTCTCTCTCTCCTCTCTCTCTCTCTCCTCTCTCTCTCTCTCTCCTCTCTCTCTCTCTCTCCTCTCTCTCTCTCTCTCTCCTCTCTCTCTCTCTCCTCTCTCTCTCTCTCTCCTCTCTCTCTCTCTCTCTCTCTCTCTCTCCTCTCTCTCTCTCTCTCCTCTCTCTCTCTCTCTCTCTCTCTCTCTCTCCTCTCTCTCTCTCTCTCCTCTCTCTCTCTCTCTCCTCTCTCTCTCTCTCTCTCTCCTCTCTCTCTCTCTCCTCTCTCTCTCTCTCTCTCCTCTCTCTCTCTCTCTCCTCTCTCTCTCTCTCTCCTCTCTCTCTCTCTCCTCTCTCTCTCTCTCTCTCTCCTCTCTCTCTCTCTCCTCTCTCTCTCTCTCTCTCTCTCTCTCTCCTCTCTCTCATCTCTCTCTCTCTCGTCTCTCTCAGTCATCTCGAATCTCTCTCAGTCTCTCTCTCTCTCTCTCGGTCTCTCGTCTTCTCCTCCTCTCTCTCTCTCTCTCTCTCTGCTCTCATGGATATTGTCGTTTTTTTTCTAAGTCACAGATAATTATCACTTTTTGTCAAACCCATACTTATTAATGGATTTTTTATTCAAATGCAACATGCGTAGCTGTTTTTTATTTGTCTTTTATCCATATGAAAAAGTTCCTTTCGCTATAAAATGTTTTGCATGCGTTATAAACTAAGATAATCTTATTTGTGCTTTTTTGTGTTTAAATCTTTTTCTCATTAACAATTGATCGGCCTTCTCTACTAGATAAACAGATCTCCAAAACCAAACCAATTTTTAAAACAAATTATGCAAAAGCTTCCCGAATCTCTTAATACCAAACACATTCCGAAATACATAGAAGTCAATTAAATCAACAATAACAACTACCCAAAAAAACACTCCTTCAACCAAAGGAAAGAGATAAACCTAAAAATAAAAATAAACACCCCCACAGGCAACTCTACTGATCGAGCACCACCAGGCAGCTTAAGGTGACTCCTAAAAGGCCTCCGTCCGCCCCGCCGACGCCACTCGTATTTCGCCTCATTTCACGCCACTACACGAGTCTCTTCCCTTCCATCATGGCCCCTAAGAAAGCTCTCGTTCTCCTGGCCGAGGGGGCGGAGGAGATGGAAGCTGTCATTGCCATTGATACGCTGAGGAGAGGCGGGGTGAGCACATTCGCGAATTTAATGGGTTTGTTTGTTTTTTTGCGTGTGCTTCTGGGGAATATACTTCTGTATTTGGATGATTGTTTGTGGTTAGGTTTGGTTTCTGATGTGTTTTTCATGGCGTTTAAGTGATGTTTGCCATTTTTGTGTATATCATAGTGTCTAAAGTTAGACCTGCGCCGGTGTCAGCTGGCCATTTTCCCGGAGGTTCTGGTTATGCTTGCGCAGTGTAGAATGCTCGAACTCGGCTGTCATTGCATTCACTATATTGTCTATTGCCCCTTGCAACCTCCCCCCCAGTCCCCACCCAGAAAAAGAAAGAATGCAGGTATTCCCAGCAGGAAAGGGCATCGGGCATCCCTCAGTCAGGTGTGCACTCAGCCCTGCCATGGGGAGAGCAAGAATTCCAAACTGCTCTCTGGACCGGAACTCCCATAAAACTAGTCAATAGACACCACATTACGTTATGATAAATAGTCACTCCGTAAGAAATAATTATGAAATTACTTTGGTTAATGTTACCCAGAGTGACACTCAAAGATAGAGGGAAATGAACACGGCCATCTTATAGAGCACATGAAATAGAGTAATGAACAAAACAGGTACAGTTGCAGCAATTTCCTATGTACCATGAAATGACGAAAATGTCTGCTGTATGTCGCCGTTCAAAGACTAAGTCCACAGCTCCCTCACACAGTCAGAGATCTTAATGTCACTTTTTCTGTTATTTGGCTCAAAGTTCTAATGAAGGGGGTACAGGAGACTCCCCCCCCCCCTGTCTAGGGAATAAAAAGGTAGGAAAGGTTAGGTTTGAATTTTGGGTTCACTGTTCTACATTACGAGATGAAAAATGATTAAGTGTGAAGACATTGTAATCTTTGTTTTGTCTGTAATTCTGGTAGCCAATTATTGGTTTGGGTTAATCTTTATGGTATGGATTCTGTAAATTGAAAAAGATATATCTGTAGAGGACAAAAAGTTGCAGTTGTCATTACAAGAAATGATCTTCTGACATGAATAGTAAAGCCACTATTAAAGGAGAAGTATCGCAGACAGCACTGCTCACTGCCTAAGTCCACTTGATGCTCCTAAGTTTCAACTCTATCTTCCCATGCACACCAAGGTGAAGACTTTCATGTTGGGGGCAGAATCACCTCTCAGTCCTCACTTCGGCCATTTGGGCACGGCAGCTTAGATTCTTGAATAGATTTTGTTTAGAGCCCATAACACAACATTAATTGTTGTTAGAGGCTCTGTAGATGCAGTTTGGGTAATTCTTTACATTATGGACACACTCGCCATGTCACAAAATCTATTCAACAATCTAAGTTGCAACAACTGGGTTTGCCCTTCAGGCAGTGCCTTATGTGGGTTCTGCCCCCCCTACACCCCCGGGAAAAAGTGTCTTCTCCAGTATGCACAGTAAAATAGAGCCAAGACTTGGGAGGATTGAGTGGACTTTGGTTGTGAGTGGCACTTTCCACGATCTTTTTCTTTTATTAGTGGTATTACCATTTGTATGTGCAGATTATTTCTTGTGCTGCGGATGGCAAATTTTTGTCCTCTATAAAGATATCCCCTTCAACTTGCGCAAACTTTGTATGCCCATAATGTAAAGATTAACCACATATTGTAATTCTGGCCTACCTTTTGTCAGGATGTGTATATGTACTGTATGTTGTCAATGGGTTATAATCTATTTTTTTTGAAAAGCCAGTGTGAGTGGCAATTCAACAAAAATTACTTCCTCATTGCAATGTTATTGTCTCTTTTTCTACTTTTTTTCTGACATTTTCCAAGAGCTGTATTTGTCATTTGGTATTCTGTATCAAAATGGTAGTAGACTATTTTCCTTGCACAGACTCCATTTCATCTCTCTTAGGTAGTCTTTAAGCCTTTTCCGATGGGCATGGCTGGTACATACATGTCATACCCATTGTGAGTTTACTTGTTTGATTGTTTTTACACATAGATGGCAACACTTGTACTAAATCACCAATGAGCCAGTTATGAGTACCGCCTGTCTCGCCTGTTCACCCTTTTCATTGATTTACAAAAATATTTAACATTATTTTATTTTGCTGTTACAAATAAAAATAACACCATCTATATTTATAGCACTAGTAAAAATCTGCTTTTTGCAACAATTCAAGGAAAGGTGAAATCCTTAATGGCTAAGCACTAGCAGAGCCATCTAGTAACAGGGACATTTCATAAAAATAAAAAAAATGAGCACAGAATTTCCCCCATTTTTTATTCATTTTCCCTGTCGGGAAAGGGTTAACTGTGTGGTGAATATTGAAAATACATTGCATGACCAATTCCAACGATATTGGAATCAGTGGATTCTCTCACTCTCTACTAACATATAGAGAATTAGGCAATATATAGTCGATGGGCTGCTGCCCCCCAACTCCTGCCTTGGATATTGAAAAATCCACCACCCATGTACTACAGGATAGTGTAGGATAGACCCAGTGTTGGGTGCTCCTGAATGTTAGTTGTACGTTCTGTCCGGCCCTGAATACATGTAAGGATTCTTTGTGTTCCATTGCGGGGGTTGGGGGTTGCTGGGAGCACAGCATTAGACAGTATAGTGACATTCTGTGTATATCATTATTAAAGTGATGTATTTTGTTTGTATTATTCATAATTTACCTGCAATTTTCCTGGTATATTTCATGCCCTCCACTGCTATTAGGGCTAAGAATATGGGGGTTTGGTGGGGTTCTGCAGCAAATGTCCTACATATATGGGTAGTAAGCAGTGGTGTAGCCAGAGTGGGAAGAATGGGGGGGCAAACAGGTAAGAAAAATAGCAGGGGGTCCGGGAATCTTCCCCCGGGAAAATTTAAGACCACGCCCCTTAGAATGCTGGAAAACGGCTCTTTTTAGATGGCTTATAATGAGCTATGCCATTTGTGCAATAAAATTTGTAGGGGGGCCCCCTACAAATTATTGCAGATTTGCACTTTTCTCAGAGACCAACTTTCTGAGCATTGGGGGGGTGGCTGCCCCCACTTGCCCCCCCCTCGCTACGCTACTGGTAGTAAGAATGAAAGAAACCCATCAATACCATTATTGTCATGATTGGTCATGCAAAAGTATATTGAACAATTACTTTCTGTGCAGCAACAGAAACAATAAGTAACTGCTTGTCATTTGTCATTTTTAACTTTTTTTTAAGGATTAATATAGACAACAGTGGTGGGCCAAGTGAGCAGTCAGAAACCTTTGCCTCAGTTGAGTCCTGAGGTTACTCATGAGGTGTACCACTCAAACTTCTCTGGGCACTGTCTTGCTAGGGTCAGATGAAGTGGAAATTTTAAAGTCATTTTCAAAATCCCTCAAATTTATTGTTTTCATTGGCTTTTGGCTTTTAAATTCATGTATCATTGTTTAACACTTGCCTTATTTGTTTCTTTGACCAAAGGTCCTGGTTGAACTCTGTTTGAAAAGATGATTGTTATTTTTAGCACTTCGTTTTAATGCAAAATATAAAGCAAGTCAAATAGAAGGCCACGTTCATATCACTCCATTTTCATTTTGATCTGTTTTTGTTCTCATTAATGGAGCTGTTTTTCCTCCCTGTTCAAACTAAGCCATTTTCAATCAAAAACGGATATCTCGCATTTGCTGTTCACAGTTGTTCTCAAAAATGCATCTGTTTGTCTTTGTTTGAATGTTTTTAGCGTTTTGAAATTCCGCCGTGTTCATACTACAAAGATGCATCCTTATTTGGCTCCATTTTTATCATCATTCTCATTTAGCTCCGTTTTTGAGTTAGTGCAATGTGAATGCAAAACTAAAAAGGGAGCTAAACACATCCGCTTTTATTCAAAAACAACTAATGTGAATGGGGTCAAAATTTTGAGCAATTTCAAGCAACAAGAGAATTAAAGTAAAATTTCTGCATCCATCAGGACCAGCAACCTCTTTCTCGTTTCCAAACATTGACTTTTAAACTATTGTAGCTTTGATTGCTAACTCATTTAAACACTTTTTTACATCTATTAGCCTTCAATATACATTTTTGTAAAGAGACAGAGAAATTTCTAATATTTTCCTTTATTGTCAACATTTTGTGGAGTTTTGGTTTTTCCAAAGCCCATAACTCAGTCATCCATAGAGGGCCCACTCTATAAATTTGTGTCATGGTTATCTATACATAAAGGAAACTTTTGGGGGAGAGGTACTAATTCACAGGAAGCCAATGAAAATGAAGATGGTTTTTCAAGATTGGTATTTTTGTCTTGTCATATTTGAACAGAGCTTGAAAAGAGCTTTAAAATGAGTTATCACTGGACTCAATGGAACAACCAGAACAAAAGTTATTAATGTTTTACTGTTTGGGGGGTTGTGGTCAGGGCAGAACGGGGAAAATCTTTAGAAACTGATTTCTCAGCCCCCATTAGATATTAAACTGAAATTTGGTGCATAGCCCTTTCTTACCATGGGAAACAAGTTCATGAAATGTGGAAAGATTCGCACATTGTAAGGGTAAATTTTTGTTTTCAATTTGTTGATTTCATATGGAATTACCTATAGGTAAATGGCATGTTCTAGATTTAAAAAGGAATAATATCAAAGTGAAATACAAACATTCAATTTTATTATATTGTAATAAAAAAGCTAATTGTCATCTTCATAGAAACCTAAAATGCAGGTATTAAAGTGATCAGTAAAGATTGCCTTTGTTGAAAGATGGAACAGGAACAAATAGAGGAACAAATAGTGTGGATGTATAGGACCTTGATTTAAACTTCATTTTAACCCCTTAGAACCAGTTGCTTTGCTACTCCTTGTCTCTCCTCTGAAATGTTATTATAGACAGATTATGTATCTGATGCCAATGGGCGAACCTGTTTTTTATAATGTCACCAGTTTCAGCATCTTGAAGTGCCAGCAGAATATGCTGACACACCAACAGTGGCATCATAATTCCATTTTATTTTAGTTGCTGCTGGTGATGCCGTATTCTGCTCTGGCTTAATTTTTTTGACTCTGTATATTGCCCTAGAAATTCTATAGCTCTGCCCATCATCCCTCTTACCTCTTGTCACGTAGATCAGCGTAGACTATGCCCCACCCTTTACCCAAAATGAGAAACTATCATTGGCAAAGTCTACATCACAGTTTCCCCCTCTGTGGTCCTACCCTTGGCATCCATTACCCCTCCACCAGAGATGGGTGAGAGTGAGTTTACCTTAGTTTACCATGAAATGAACTTAAGGATTCATCAAGTCTTTCCTTTCATCACATTCAAAGTTACCACCCGCGGGCGAGTGCCTGGTACACGAACAACCTGCATCTTGTGGAATGTAGAATTACTGGGTTGGAAAGTTTTGGAATTCAGGTAAACCCTTTTCTTTGCCCAAATGTTTTTAAGCTGAAAACATACAAATCAATTAGTTACAGTTACATTAAAAAATAAACATATTAATACATAGAAATATTATGCATGTTCTTAACTAATAAATACATAACACTTAATATAAAGAAATTTAATATTACAACACCAAATCATAGGGTAATTATTTCAACTCGCTGAAAATTATGATTTCTGAGCCCTCCTGCTAGTTCCTTATTTTGTGAGCTTTATGCTCACTAAATGGCCAGCGAACCCTATGTTTGCTGCCTGGACTATGAGAAGCCTTATGCTTCTACAGGGAAACACGATATTCGACAAAATAAGTCTTATACTCATTTATAAACAGTGAGCCATACTCTGTCCCGAATGTCTTCCTTCATGGAGCTTGTCTTCACGTCTCCCCTCCACATCTCCCCCTCATTCTTTTATATGTTGTTGATTGTGACTAAGATAACATTAGATGAATGCATAATTATCTTAGTATCATAGTCTTATCTTTTTTTGGTGAATTACTGTTTCAATTGTTGTCATGTAAATAGTAAATACATAATGATTTTAGAATGATAATGAATATAAAGTAATAATTATTAACTTTCTTTCATGAAAGTACTTTATTTATTGCGCATTATACAAACACAAGTTGGTTTGCTTAAATAAGAATGACTCCCTTCTGTGACTTTGAACAGGTCATTACACATCTTTTAAAATAACTGGAGCTAAGCATTTAATACTGTTGATGTATATATTTGAAAAAGTTAGTTTGCAAATGAAGTACAGTAAGTGTGATGCTACTGTTCTTTTGTGCTTCTGTTTTGGATAATAATTCTTAAAATTATGCATCTATTTTATAGTATAAAGCCAGTGTTACATCAAGTTAGTAATACAAAGATTAAGAATATTTTTTTCTTTATGGTTTAATATCATTGTCAACAGCATATTCATGTTTTCATTGTTTTCATTGTCAATTAGTCATTTGGTTATGATTTTTTTAGATATATAGATATAATTTCTTTGCACCTTGAAAATTACAGGAATTAGCTCTCAAAATAATATTTTCTATAAAATAAGTTAATGTTACTTCATGAGATGTAATACAAAATATTTTTAAATTCTGTAGAGGTGATTGTGTAAATTTTGTATTAATTTTCTTATAAAATGTGTTATGGCAGAAAAAAGAAGAATGAAAGAAAAAGAAAGGGACCATTCAATTTTTTTTTTTTTTATTACTTCAGATTTTAATATCATAAAAAAAAGTACTTTAGATGTATGATTAAAAGAAAATGTTTTCACAGATAGAAGTCACTGTTGCTGGGCTCGCAGGTGCAGGAGCTGTGAAGTGCAGCCGAGATGTGGTGGTCATGCCTGATGCCGCCCTAGATGACGTTGCAGGAAAGGGACCCTATGACGCCATCGTTCTCCCTGGAGGCCTCAAGGGTGCTGAGAGCTTTGGCCAGGTAAGGCCTTCTGTGCAAGTGAAATGTTTTTTTCCTTGTGATAAACATGACTTATGAAGTCTCTGTGATATAGGAGCAGTTCAGAATGGCTTAGGTCAATTTGGTTTATTTGTTTAGATGTGAGTTTGTAGTTGTTGTAATAAAGAGTGTTCATTGTTTATAGTGGAGAAAAGGTATAAATGAGAATTAATTACTTTACAAATTCAACTGATGTTTCATTAATATATCAAGTTTATGTACATGCACATCTGTAAAGAACTAGGGATTTGCATGATGCTAATTACCTATCTCTATTGTTCTGTCAAGTTGATTTTGTTTAAGTCTGATAATGTAAAATTGCTAGATTTTGTTTCCATAGTCTCCATGGAATTATGCATTTTCCATTATTTTTCTCTTTTACTTACGCTCCACTTTGAAACACTGGTAGATGCCCAACTTCATCTACATGTACTACCATGGACATATAATTCTGATGAAGATATAGCCTGAAAATGCATTTCCTTTGTAATGTTATCCATGTGATTCTTATTTATAATATGTGCCATTGTGTGAGGACAGGTTGTGACAGAGAGGACAAAGACTTTGTGAAATTTCTAAACTATCCATTTGTACGTTCTATTCAGCTAAGTTTGATGTTGGTACGTCTGAACTGTATGAGTGTTAGATTTCTTTTAAGGATTATTATGCATTCTTGATTTGGCCTTCTCTCTCACAAGTAATGTTAGATTTTAACTGGAATGTACATGTTGTCTTTGCCACTGGTATATATATTGGTATATATATATAGGTAGGATGTGTTCAGTGTAAAGTGGCTATTAATATTTGATAATATTTGACTCCTCCAGAGTGCTGCTCTGAAGACCCTCCTCACTGACCAACAGAAAGCAGGTCGAGTTATTGGAGCAATCTGTGCTGGTGGGTAATAAAGTTTCAGTTAGTCTGTGTTCTGTTAATCATGTTTTGCAATTAGTTTTTTTTTTCCTGGTTGCTGGATTGAGTTTACACTAAGATCTCAGTTATACGAACTGCCATTTAATGGATATTAGAAGCAATGGACAAAGTCTGCACTGTGGATGAATTTGTGGTAACACTAGACACCAACTGCTGCTTAGTGAGCTATCTACTGGCAGGTGGTACTGCCTCTTTGGTTATGTTGGTGTAACCACATGTTTAAAATGTTGTACCATATTTTTTTCCCCCCTTTTTGTGTCAGTGTGTTTAACCCCTTCATGACGGGTGATGCTGAGAGGCGTGAAACAAACCACTCAAAAAGTGGCATGCGACTGTATGCCGCGGCAGAGTGCCAAAGCGCGGCGAGCCAGTGATTCGGCCTGATGTACCAAACTGCCGCTTTCAAAGTTGGCGCACTGCCATGGTTTGCCAGAGCATAGAGTTTTTTTTTTTGTTTTCTTCACCCGTCACCATTGGGTTAATTGGTTTAGTTTTGTATTCATCATTTACTATAACTATGTTGTATGGAGGAGGAATAGAAAAGTGGAAAAAGGTGAATTTGAAAGCACAGGAACTCAAGCTGATGAGAAGGTTAGAAAGGGGTATGTCTGTGAAGTGGGTGTGTGAGGAATATAGCTTAAAAAAATAGATATACAGGTACTTTACACTGTCAGATTGGATGGTATGGTTAAAAGGACAGTACTGTGTTGTTGCTCTTACTTTCTAAATGTAGTTGTAATTGCCATAGTTTTGTTAATTAGTCATTCAGCAATATCAGACTGATATCCCCCTCTTTTGTCTGATAAAAATAGGTCTTACAAAAGATTTTATAAGTATAGTTGTATGGTTATAATGGGGTTAACCTGCCTCATTCTTTATAACAGCCTGCTTAAGCTACTGTTAAGCCAGTGCCTCTGTCCTCATTTCAGCCCCTGCTGTCTCCCTCACTGCCCTTGGCATAGGGGAGGGCAAGAAGGTGACCTGCTATCCTGCCCTGAAGGACCGCCTTGATGCCAGCAAGTACACCTACCAGGATCAGAAAGTGGTTGTGGATGGTAGGTATTGAGTGCTAAGTTTGTGGGTGTGATCCCTGCTATGTAAAATAACTTTTGTTTTGTGATTAGTATTCTTGTAAGTTTCCTTATTTAGTACTGTGATTTTTGTGATTGTTGTCAATGTCTTTGTGATAATTTCTTATAGGATTATGTTAGGGCTTTGTCATCATGTTCTTTGACATCATCATTATAAACTAAGTGAAGAAACATTGATCCTAATTTAAAAGGCAGACCCTAAAAATGTGTTGCCAGAGAAATGTCCACTAGTATTTTTTTGTTAATAACTGTCTCTGGACATGGATAGCTCCACAAGTGCTTAGCCCTTGTGACTTCACCTAATTTCACTTTTCCTCGAGTTTTTGGAAAAAAAGGTATTAATTTAAACCAATGTGCTATCAATATTAATGATGATATTATTGTACACTATAATTATTTAATGTTATGTGATATTACCAACAGCAATATAAGATAAATGAGATAAAATTAAGGAAAATGGCAAACAGGTGAGATAGATAGTACTTGTGAGTGACTTTGGTATGTGTGGAGCCATCTATGTGAAAATACCATTATTAAACAAAACTCACAGTGGACATGACATGTACATATATACCGGCATTGGGGTTAACCCAATGACGCCGGGTGTACAAAAGGAAAATAAAACTCTACGCTCTGGCAAACAAAGGCGGCGCGCCGACTTTGAGCGCCGGAGTACGGGGCGTCAGCCCGAATCACTGGCTCGCCGCGCTTTGGCGCGCCGCCGGCTGGTTTGGCCGCACGCCACCTTTCGAGCGATTTGTTTACACGCGTATCGCCGTCACCCGGCGGCAAGGGGTTAAAACACAGCCTCTTAAAAGAAAAGAAGAAGAAGAAGAAAAAAAAAAGGTAACAGTAAGAATGAATATGTTTGCAGTCCAAGAAATTTATTGGAGACATTTCCATTGTCATAGAAGACAGTTTCTGATGGAGACCTAATCAAAATGTGTCAAATACATCTCTTGCATTGTAGAGTTATTCATTCTCATTCATGCCTGTTTCAATATTTGTCATAATTAACACTATTCAAAGCCTTAGTGACGTGTTTTTCTTAGGACCATTGTTCTAGAAAAGGTCACTGTATGAGGGCTTCATGTCAACTGATAAAAAAAAGAAATGGAAGAGAAAAGTCTAACCCTATTTATTTTTATGTTACTGGAAACTTTGTTGTTTTTATTTGGCTGTAATATTATTTTTGAAGCCATTGATGCATTGTTTACAATATTTTTGTTTTATTAAAGATGTTTAACGTTGTTGTTATTAATGATGGTAATTTATACTTATAGATTCAAGGAATGTTTGAATAGGTGATGTCAGGTAAGCCTAGTAATGAACTCCATGGTCACAGTGTTGGTGGAGTCTTCCATATGGGGGAGGGGATGTTGTGGAAAGTACACACACGTGCATGCACTCCTTCTCTCAACAGTTGAATGTCAGCATTGTCACTAGTATTATCATTATCATAGTATTATCACCAACATCAGTGACAATAGTTTTGATATTGTCACTCATTCTTATTTTCATTTTTCATCATTGTTAATATCACCTTTATCTACCACATCATGTTAAAAAACAAACAAACTAATTTTATTGTCTGCATTCACAGTGCCTTATTATGAACACCAACACCAAAAATTGTTATCATCAATGAATAGCATTGATATTATTATCATTATCAACAGCTGTATTGTCACTGTTATTTTTAAGATTGATATTTTTATCATACATATTGAATCCTGTGAGCCTATCTTCCACAATTGTGGCACATTCCAAAATGTACCCCCAGTTGTATCTGCCATGATTGTAGGTGGTCTGTCAAAAACTGATGGGTTTTTCCCTTGACGTACGTAGATGTACGTAGTGTCCTCTGATATGTCTTGCACTGTTTGAAAAATGTTCATCCGCCATGCCTATGATATCACCCCCATACCCTCAGTCTCCCTGTAGGTTCTCCTCTGCCTTGAACCAATGACAGTTACTTATTCTCACTTCAGCCTTCATGTGAATGAAACCTAATGTTTGTGAGGTAGTAGTTGTGGTGCTGTATGACACTTTGTATTTGAGATATGACAATGAAAATATACCTTTTTCTGGTGTGGAAAATTTAACATTTCAAATGAAAAGACCAAAATTGACCTTGATGAAACATGAAAAATCATACCTGTTTTGTTGGGGGGGGGTGGATGTGTAAGCTGAATTTTCTGTGGCTCACAGGAATTAACATTGACAAACATTAGCTTTTTGTCTATTATTACCATTGATTTTGTTGTCATAATTTGTGCAGTGTTTTATTATTATCTTTATCATTACTCCCCCAATCTCTTACCTGTTGTTGTCATGGGGGGGGCTTAGGAGGCGGAAACTGGGACCCAACGATGGGTAACTCCCCAACCTTGGGACTCAGCCCTCGACTCAACTAATTTTGCATGGTCTTTTTTCCCTTCCTACTTTTTCGTTTCTGTCCCTTCACCAATCCCTTCTACTATCCACCTCCTAAGGTGTGAGAGCCGTGCTGAAAGGATGAAAGGCTGACTTTGTGCCAATCCTGAATGGCCTGAGGAAGCCATGGGCACTGTATTCCCCTGCTTAGGCCTAGCCCTTACCCCTCAAGGGGACCCTGAGGGGTTGACTGTTTTTCTCCCCAACATACTCCAGGCTTACCATGGCCAGTAATAAAATTGTAATTCCTTTATTAGGGGCAATGAGGCTTGCCCCTTCATCAAATAGCCCCAACAATTCAAATCCTCCCGATTTCCTGACCCCAGGCTCTCCTTTGACCACGTCTCCGAATACTGCAACAACTATCCCCTCCTCAGTGCCTACTAGTACAGTAGTCAACACTCAACCTCCTAGAGACATTTCTACTCTCCCATCATGCTCAACTTCAACACCTCTACCCCCACAACCTTCTACATCAACTACCCCATCCTCCCTTATTAATACCTTACAGCCTTATTGCCCACCTCTCCATAACACTACCTCCCTCAACACTACTCCCTCTTCGACACGCCCCCGCCCTTCTACTACCCCTATCTCTACAACAATCTTAACCCCTTGGTGCCAGGTGACGCTGATCGGCGTGCAAACAAACAGCTCGAAAGCTGCCGTGCAGCCAAACGCCGCGGCGGAGTGCCAAAGCGCGGAGAGCCAGTGATTCGGGCTGATGTCCCCTACTCACTCACTCAAAGTCGGCGCGCCGCCTTTGTTTGCTAGAGCGTAGAGTTTTTTTTTTTTTACACCCGGCGCCATTGGGTTAAATACTCTATTTAGCCCAGCCAAATGGGTCCGATTTTTTGTGATCCCTCCCACAGCTCCTACTCTGACAACACCCTTCTCTTCCAGCAATGTCTCCAAAAACAAGTAGGCAAAGTCTCTTTCCGTAGCTGACCCGACTGCTCCCGTCTCATCACAGTAACCTCTGAATCCCAAGCTATAGCATTAGCAAAACTAACTGATCTATATGGTAACCCCATCCTTGCAGAACCCCATCCAACCCTCAATACTTGCACCAGAACTGTTTCTATCTCCCCAGCAAACTGCCTAATCTATGACAAAGATTGGTCAGATTGTGGAGAAGACTTACTCGCCTGTCTCACAGACTATGATGAGACATCAGTACAGTGCTACTCCATTCCTCCCAGAGGTCATCATAAGAAACCCACTAACATCACCAACATTACTTTCCATAGACATGACCTTCCCTTTAATGTTTACATAGGTGGAGAATCCCTCCCTGTCCGACCATACCAACCTCCTCCTTGTCAGTGCCAAAATTGTTGGCGTTTAGGACACCCAGCCAAACATTGCCGTTCCACAGCCAGATGCCCACTATGTGCCCAACCTGGCCCTCATAATGTATTTTATAGGGGCTGCCCCACCTACAAATTTGAGTCTGAAGTAGCAACTCTCAGATTCAAACTTGGACTCACACTACGTGAAGCCAGACAGGCTTCACGTTCACGTTGACGAGGTTCTTCTCTTAATCCCTACTCCAGTAATATTGCTCATTCTACCACTTCCCCTACCTCCCAAGCTCGTACATCCTCTCCTAAACCTACCCCCCCTCCATCTAACTCCCCCTCTTCTACCTCCTACCTTCCTCAGTCAAACTCTTTTGTCATCCTAAATCCTGACACTCCAATCTCTACTACAGACACTCCAATCTCCACTACAACCCCAACACCTTCCCCTCTCCCTCCCTGCACTACCTGCAACAGACAGAACAAACGTTCCACCCCTTCTTCCCCTACCACACAATCACCTCCACCTTCCTTTGCCCCTACTCTTGAGACACCAGTACTATAGTGCTACATGACCTTAGATGTCTAGCACATTTATTTTGCTTTTAACCATTAACCATCTTTATCATTATTGCTATCATTCTCTACTTTAACAAGTTAGTGGTAGTATGTTTTTTGTGTGTGTGTGCACGTGTGTGTATGCATGTGTATGTTTGAGTGTGAGAGAAGGGGGAGTGCGTGTGTGTGTGTGTGTCTGTGTCTGACTCTGTCTCTCTGTCTGTCTCTGTCTCTCTCTGTCTATGTGTGTGTCTGTGTCTGTGTCTGTCATTGTCTGTCATTTATGCTCAAGCAGTGTTTATAATTCAGTTGGTAATTAGATAAGCAGTGAGCCATTTGAACTTTTAAAGTAACTGTTAACTTTCTTTTTTTCATAGGCGAGCTCATCACCTCCCAGGGCCCAGGAACAGCTTTTGACTTTGGTCTGGCTCTTGTAGAGAAACTTGTGGATTCTGAGAAGTCTGATGCTGTTGCCAAGGCCATGCTGCTCAAGTAAAATTAAGACAACAATAAGAACAACAATGGTGATAAACAGCTGCTAAAATTGGAAGAAAGTATGTTTTTCTTTTGTTTTCATTTTTTTTTTTTAGTCTTATATCAACATCTTATAATGGAAATGTTTACTGTCAGCAAAAAATGTTTGTTCTCTTTCTTTAAAAAGAATCTGTAAATTGTCCCATTATGAAGAAATAGTAAATTTGTGTTGAAATACTGAATTTTTTTTCTCATTATTCCTCAAAAGTGAGGAATCTGTGATATGGAATTGAAATTAAGATAATTTTCATTTAAGACTTTTATTTAAATCCTTTAATAGGAATATGATCTCTGTGGGATTTCTTTTCCATATTAAATCAGAATATGTATAGGTTTCTTTAGTGATATACAAGATGTGTTGGTTATAAACAAAAGGAAAAGGTATTATAAGTTGTCAAACAAAGCTGAATTATTTTACAGCCTCGCAAAATGTTTTTAACAACTTGTATCTCTTTCATGGTGGGTTGAAATGAAGGTCTAATGTTCCATGTGTATCAACTAAAGGATTATAATAAGTGAAGCCTATGTTTGTTAGTAGAAAACTTCAATGGCTTGGTTTCAAGAACGCTTTGTATAGTGGAAAATTTTATTAAGGAAGCTGTTTGTTGGAAACTTTGGTTGAGTATTTTGAAGGTTGTCATAATAGAATTTTTAGTCTTGTTTAGTTATTTTCAGTATTTTCATTTCTCATAAGCTTTGTGTAGTTATCTATTAGTAAAAGATTTAGGAAATGTTACAATAGTTTTTGTAGTTAACCCTTTGTGCTGTTTTGAATATAGGGTAGAGTACCAGTGTTGTACCTCTCAGGTTCTGTTGTCCAAGATTGTACTTTGGTGCTTTCAGTCATACAACATTCTCTGTTTTTCATTCTTATCTTTGTCTTTATCATAGCGAATAGCTTCTCTGTCTGATACAAGAATCAGCTTGTTTGGTAAATAGCTCGGGAAATTTCTTTTTCCTTTAGGACTTGGAGAATTGTTTGAGTTAAGGACAGTTTTAAGCATATTTGCATGTCTGTTGATTGGGTCATTGTTTAAGTTTTTTGTTTCTGGTGTGAAGAGAGAATGTATGATTTTTTTTTCTTTTTTCTTCAGTATGCTGCTCATTAATAGATTATCTTTGTGTAGTTGTTTTCATTGCACTGCATGTATTCAGTTCGATTCTCATTAATCAGGCCTGTGCAACTTAGATGTTTGAGGAGACTGGTGTGTTTGATTTGTCTTAAACAGGCTGGATTTTTTTAGTCATCATTATTGTCTGTATAATTTTTTATTCTTCATTTTCAGTTTTAGCTTTTCTGTTCTTTGCAAAATGATCATACCATGGAGAATAATATTTTTTTTTTTTTTTTTTTAATATACTTTGATATTTTGCTGTAAAATATAGATTCTGTGTTCTAAGACTTTGAATATTAGCACGGAAAGTCCTACTTATGCTAACAGTCATTGAGATTGAGTTAAGTAAAGTAACTTAGCAAAGTATGAAATGAAAGACCATTTACTATTGCTTTTTATTGTTCTGATACAAATCATTATCTACAAGTGGTACGATGTGGCATGTCTTATTTAATAATTATGGTATTAATAATAATATTATTGATAACCATAATGGCAATAATGATCATCATAACTTTCACTCCATAAGATCCACACACATGGAAAAAGACGTCCCTAGTGATATCTGGCACGACCTAGCGCACTACAGTACCCTCCCGGGCGATATGTTGGCACGCGTCCTCTGCCCGGGTTCCCACCGTCCTTCAGGGGCACCCCCTCGGGCTCGCCCCTCGTGACCGCTCCTGAGGGCCGCCGCTAGGGCCACCCCTAGGGCCACCCCGGGCTGGCTCGGCAGCTGGGGCTTGCAGGTGGGCGGGCGGGCGGGCGGGCGGGCAGGTGGTGTGGGCGGCGGGGCACCTCCTCGGCGGCTGGGCGGCAGGCACTAGCATCAAGCGACGCAGGACACTTCCTATCTAGCAATTCAAGTTAAAATATCTAGTATAAAGTTTTGGATCATAAACTTGGTAACTTGGCGAGTAACAGGGGGCAAACAAACTTTGGCGGGAGTGCTGAGGCAGGCCAAGCCTTGTAATCCCTCTTTTGCGTGGGCTTTGGTCGCCCCTCCCGCAGGCCAGCGGGACCCCAGCCAGGAGTAAATGGCAGTTGAAGGGCCTGGCGCGGGGCGGCCCCGCCACGCTCGGGAACAGGCAAGAGAGATGCTGGAGCGTGCGGGGGCCGGCCCGCCCCTAGCCCCAGACAGCAGCACACACGCGGCTCCTGGCGCCCTCGGTGCCTTCGTCTCACGCAGCTCTTGAAAGCACGAGTCGACCGCCCGGAGTACGGTCCTGCGTGGGCGGCTCGGTGCGCCCGGCCTGTGCAGCAGCAGGCAGGCGGGCCGCCGGGTCGCGGGCTGATAGTCAGCGCAGCCGTGGACGCTCCGTTGTCACGCCGGGCTCTCCTGGGGCGGCCCGGCCCGGCCAACTGGCGGGGCAGCGGGGCCGCTCCAGGAGGCCGCTCCTTCTGTGGTAGGAAAAAAAACTTGCAGAAAAGCTGCTGTTTGTGACAACCAGCGTCCAGGGCGACATGGGTGTGATATGCATCATTCACGATTGGTTCAGGGAACTGTTCAAAACAAGACGTGATGGGTGTTCAATGTTCGGCTGGAATGTAACGCATGAAACTTCACCTGTAGGCAGTATGTTGGCTTCGGTAAATATTACGCTTATATTCCTCATAATGCTGTTTTATTATCATTATATATTTTTATCTTCTTCTAAACTTGGGTGCGAGTTGGATCAAATAAAAATTGTCACAGGCAAAACAAACAGGTAAGAGATTTACACACACAAACTGCGGCAACACAATAAGTAGGCAAGACCCGTTGCGACAGAACGCGCAACAAACACTGTTCAATGGAGACAAACAACTTACAGACCTGTACAGTTAACAGTCATTTTTGTAAGCCACATTTTCGGTGCCCTGAGATCTTTCAAGCTTCCACGTGAAGAGTTGTCAAGAGCTCAAGAGCGTACAAAATAGCATAGTTACCCCGATCCACAGAGCGCCGCCCTCCCCAGAGAAACTAAAGAAAACGTTCTCGAAGTAGGGACGTGGGCGCTACCTTTAGCTCCGCCATGAGAGCACGGAGTGCCCCGGCGAAGGCTGAGTATTGTCACTCCACACAGTGGAGTCTACTCTGCCGGTACTACACTGCTACTGAGAACTGCTCCTGCTATGTTACCTCCTGCTCAGTCAGAAGCTAATGTTTTACAAATGCATCTAGCGAAATTCACTCTACTTTTACAAGTATATCGGAAATGCCTTTGAGGAACTTTCTTAAACCTACTACTACTCTCTAGTGTTAGTGCCTTACAAGCAATGTTTATGTACAGCGTTTTGCAGATAATATGACTGGGGTGTCATGGCAGCTATAGTAATTCAACAACTTACTATTTATACATATGTAGATCGGGGGCAGAATTTTGATTTTGAGATTTTGATAACACTTTCCAGGTGGGCACCATATTCTTCTTGTTCCGACATACGAGGACACAAGTGGTAATAACAAAACTGACAACCATCACATAAAAGAGTCTGAGCATTTACTCAATACAGGGGAAAACAAGCCATAATACAGAGGAGAACAAATTCAAAAACAAATAAACAAGTTTGGCAGAAATCAATATACGTGGCACACCGCAATTGTACAACAATCGGTAATAATTTATTTGTTTTGTATCGGTGACAAGGTCCATTTGAAATCCGTCCACCAGCAAAAACTCGCATCTTCTACCGTTGAGTTGAGATGGTCATCGACATATTTACATATTTAAGGATCAAAATGGAGTGTGAACTCTCACGTCTAAGTTGAAATAGCTGAATGCTGTATAAGAGGATTACTTGATGAAATGTTGGAATCTTTTAATCTTTTAGAAGTATTAAACGGCATTGAGGATGGATTTTTAAAAATATCTGAAGGAGGAAAAGGAAAGAACGCTGCCTCGTTTGTCTTTTTTTTTCTCTTTCTACGACTATGACTACGCCGGATCAAGCAGGTGGCGCTGGTGGAAGGCAAACCATACGAACCTTGGGGATACATGGTCGCAATGACAAGGCACACGAGGTGGTGGCTAGGAAGGCACAGCATTAACCGTGACCAGAACCTTCTAGCAGTGCCGCCACAGAGAAAAAAACGAGTTGTATATTACCATGAAAACCTCAGGATTTCTGATGTTGATTATTGTATTTGTTATTTTCGTATTATCATTTACGAAAATTATATACACCTGTATATATTTTTATGCTTTACATATTTTTCCGGGTGTTCTTGTTTTTCGAAAAAAAAACATGGGAAAAAATATCGATATCTACATTTCATTGCGTCCGAATGTTCTGTTTCTTGCGTTGTGTGTGTGGGGACCTGCCAAGGCTTTCGGTACGACCGCCTTGTCTCTCTCATCGTTTATACATCTTGTGTCTTTTCTGCATTGTCTTCAAGCCTTCTTTCTTTTTTCAAATCGTTATCATTTATTATCATCATTATTATTATTTTTTTTTAAATTGTGAGTTCTCCACCGAAGCCCGGTTACCTTGTGTTACTCATAGGTTTTGTAATAGTGGCACCGTAACACACGCTGCCCGCCGACAGAGGGGCAGGCAACGTCAGTCACAGAGCATTTTTCCGCCCGGGCGTGTCTCACACTCCATGTCTGGATTTCAGCAAATGATCATCGGGGGATACGAAATTAAATGTTTTTTTTATGAAAGAGTTTGGATGATGAATAGAAATATTGGCTTATCCTTAAAAATGGTGTATTATTAATATATTATTGGTAGTCTTATCATTAATCATTATTATTATTATTATTATTATTATAAATTATCATATCATATTATTATTATTATTATTATTATTATTAATATTATTATTATGATTATTATTATTTTATTATTATTAATTATCATTACTATGATTATAATATTTAGCATTATCAAAACACTGGCGCTTGACTGCGTCTCACCAGAGAAAAGAAGAGAGAAAGAAACACTTAAAAGTAGACCCGAGAAAATGAAAAAAATAATCGCATCTCGAAGCGCAACGGCGACCGAGACAAATGAAAATTTTCCCATTAATCATTCTCATAACTCAAATTTTAACGTCTGACATACTTTCACACACTACTAATGACCCGGAAGGAGGAAGGGAGGATAGAGAAGGAAAGGATGGATAAGGGAGTGAGGGAGGTGGGGAATG